TTACGTTTTTTATTAGATATCAAGTGTTGAAGGGCTTCTTTATCTGAATATTTTTGGGATATTTTAGAGGTTTTGCGAGTGTAGCTTATAGATAAGTTTTTTAGTTTCTGAGGAAAAATTTTGCATGCAATGTTGGAAATGAGCTTCTGATTTTTATGAGCTGAATGAGAACTTGAAGATACTTGACGTGTATTGTCATTAAGTTGTAGTACCCTGTCTTTTGCATTTCGTTTGATGGGTAGTTTATGAGAAACTTATGTTGTTCAGAAATCCAGTATATACTTGTATTCGTTTTATAGTAGAGAGATTATTCGTCGTATTCTATTGCTGTTTGCTTAGAAGCGGAGAAAACACTAAATAAAGTTGGGTTCTTGAATTTGCATTTTCCAATTCTGGACTAATCTCCAACTCTAATTTACGACGGAATGCTGCACCGGTATGAACTCAGAAGTGAGAGAACTATGTAGTTTTATAAGATAAGGAGGGAGAGAACTATGTAGTTTTAGAAGATAAGATTTTAGTGTCAAATTTATTGGGCTGTAACTTTGTAGTCCAAATTGCGTGGAATCACATATCATAATTGTATAGACATGGTTAGGTCCTTGCATTTTTTTGATATAATGTACATGTGTTTGTTGAAGTAGAGGTATTGAGGAACAAGATGAATATCAGGGCATGTGAGGGCGACCGGATTAGTATCATTAGGTGATTTGAATGTAATGAATTAGAATTACTTTGTGCTTCTTGGAGGTTGTATGTCTTGGTGGAAGAACCAAATATCATTTCAAAGCTTAAAAAATAGTGGTTACAATGCTGTAGGGTAGGACACCATATTTGTGGAACCTATTATTTGTGATACTCTGTAGTTCTGATTACTTGGCTTTGGGCTAATGTGTGCTCGTTCAGATTACTGAAGGGTAACATTTGTGCACTTTGCACAAAGGGTCATAAAACAATGCCTTTCAGATGATGATTTTAATACAAAATATTTGTCCTTCTATGTCTCCAAATCCCTCAAACCAACAAATGCTTAGAGATTACTTTACTTTTTTCAACCCACTGATCAAATTTAAACAATTGAAGTTTTCCCTCATGAATTTAAACTCTTCTTTACTTACATGATCGAATTTAAATGCCCTCGTCAATATCAGATGCTTCATGGCTTCTGTAAAAATAATAACTGCTGAAGATTAAAGCTGTGGTGAATTCTCTTATGGCATGATTGGTATGATGGAATGGAATTTCATAGGAATGGAATGAATTGAAGAATGGAATGATTATGGGAATGGAATGAAACATGTTTTGTCATTGATGCGTTTGGTATGCAGAAGGAATAGGACTAGAATTGAATGACATTATCATTTTTTATTATAAAAATAATAAAAGCTTTTTTTAAAAATAGTATACTTTTAATAAATTATATATAAGTGCTTTTTTAATAATATATAAAAATAAAATTATATATTTTTAATAATATATTTTGAATAATATATAAAAATAGAATAATATATTGTTTAATAATATAAAAATAATATATTTTTAATAATATTCAAAAATAAATAATATATTTTTAAATTATATATAAAAAATAATATATTCTTAAAAGTAATATATTTTTGATATATAAAAAATAATATATTTTTAATAATATTTAAAAATAAAAAGTAATATATTTTTAATAATATATATTTTATTTTTTAATTAAACAGTAAATAAAAGTAAGTTTTCAATTTTTTATTTGAATTTTATTTTTTAAAATAATATATTTTTAATAATATTTAAAAATAAAGTAATATATTTTTAATAATATATATTTTTAATATTTTTCAATAATATATTTTTAATAATATATTTTTAAAAGTAATATATTTTTAATATATAAAAAATAATATATTTTTAATAATATATAAAAATAAAATAATATATTTTTAAATTATATATAAATACTTTTTTAAGTTTTGTTTTTATATAAGTATTTAATATATCTAATTAAAAAATAAATAAAAGTAAGTTTTCAATTTTTTTATTTGAATTTTTGTTTAAAATGATTTTATTTAATATATTTTAATCATGATTTATAATATATATTATATATTTATTTTTTATTATTATTTGTTAATTTTATTTTTTGAAAAATTGATTCCTACACACATGGGAATGAGAAAACCCTCCATTTACTATGGAATGGCTAATCCCATGGATATGGGTTTTGCCATTCCCATTGGAATGGTCATTCCTTCTCAAAAAATATACCAATCATGGGATAAGAAATGAGTAAAGGAATGACCATTCCATTCCTATGTCATTCCATCATACCAATCATGCCATTAGTATTATATGTCTATAAATCATGCATATGATTATTTCCTATCTGTTTGCTTGATGGGGGGGGGGAGATACATTTATGTTTGAGCAATTATTAGTTGTCTTTGTGAATACCTTTAGGATGCTAAGGAACATTCGGTTCCCTTGGTGACCATTGTTTTGTCTCATCAGGGTTACTATAACGACATTCCAAATCATGGATTCTTTTTGTTTTCGCTTGACAATGCTGCAGTGTTATCAAATGGCGGCCATGGCGGATGTTTGACCAACCGACATGCTAAATATGTGAAGGATGGCGGTAATGGCGGCGCCATAGGCTGCCACAGTGGCAGCTAGGGTGGGATTTTGGCCTGTTGCCATTTACCGCCATCCACCATTAATAGCAATGCAATGCTGTAGCATGCTAATCCCTGAAATCAAAGGCAATCTGAAAACAGTTAGGAGACTCTGTGCATGTTGCCTGTAGCTGTGCTTGTTTTTCATCTGAGTTTTATACTGTAACTGTCCTTTTCGGTTTGCCTTCTGCATGCTCTTGCAAGCTGCATGTTCCTTAAGCTTCGTATTGATTGATTTAGACAACAATCATATGAACATTTATATGCATTTGGTTATTGAAATGAATTTGCACCTCCTCACTGATTATCGTATATTTAGTTACTTTATCCTGTTTTTCTCTGTAGCTTTAATTATGAGATAGGCGTATTGGGGAAATCATGGCCTCCAAGGGTCCAAGATCCAAGCTGGACCATGAATCACGGGCTAAGCGACAGAAGGTGAGTATGTCAACTTTATTTTGGCAAGCTAGTCTTCAAGAAGCACGTCAACTGTGTTGATGAGATTGAACATGGACAATCATAGCTTGAAACTTCTCTCTAGATTGTTGACTGGCTTCAATAGAATTTTAATAATTCATAATTACATCTGCATGGATCCTGGGATCAAGTGCATCCAGACAGATTTGCTTTAATTTCGTACATATCCATGCGTTCTTCAATCAATTGCTAACTGATTATAACTGTAAGGACATTGTCTTGACATTTTCCCCTACTTGTCTTGACTACTTGTTCTTTGCATCCTAGGCACTTGAGGCTCCAAAAGAACCTCAACGTCCTAAAACACATTGGGATCATGTTCTTGAAGAGATGGTCTGGTTGTCCAAGGTAACAAACTATCTTTTCCTTTGATGCTATGGTCCATTTATTATCATAGTTAACAAAATCCCCTTCTTCATGGTTATGATTGTAACTGTAGGACTTTGAGTCAGAGAGAAAATGGAAACTTGCTCAGGCAAAGAAAGTTGCAATAAGAGCCAGCAAGGGCATGCTCGATCAAGCTACAAGAGGGGAGAAAAGAATAAAGGTGTACTGCCTTATTCTTTCATATTTATGCGATACACACACACACACATACATGTATGGTCATAATTTATTTGGGGTATGCTAGTTTGTGCCTTAATTATGGAGTTGATCAGGTAGAGGAGCAGAAATTACGGAAAGTGGCTCTAAATATTTCCAAGGATGTCAAGAAATTCTGGACAAAGATAGAGAAGCTGGCAAGTCATTGCAAAAAGATGCTTACTAGTATTTATGTTGTTAAGATTATGTGACTCAAAAGTTCCATTGTCATGGTTGATACAGGTCCAATACAAGCATCAGTTAGAGCTTGATGAGAAGAAGAAGAAAGCACTTGATAAACAGCTTGAGTTCCTCCTTGGGCAAACTGAAAGGTTTTATGTTCTATCTGCCTAATGTTATCATAATCAAAGCCTCAATCTTCTATAAACAGCAGGAGCCAATATCAGCAGATTCATGTTTTTTGTTTTTCTTCCTTTTGAATCAAGTGTTTATTTACATGCACCTCTATGAAATACTAATGCTCCTCCTATCTTCTTTTAGGTACTCATCAATGCTTGCTGAAAACCTTGTAGGCACGCGGACTCCCTGCAAGCCATCTAACTTGTGTAGTACTCAAGCTCAAACTAGCAATCATCAGGAAGAAAGTGGTGACATGAATCGAAGTTCATCTAAATCAGATACTGGTAACTAGTCATTTTTTAAATAATTCTGCCATTTAGTACCTTTGGGTGATTATTGTACTGGTAATGCTAGGATCCCAGTCAGATCTTCCTACTGCTGCAGATGAAGACTATGATTTGCAGTCTGGTGATGAATTGGTGGTAAGTTTTCACCCTCAGATGCAACTTAGCATTCTTGGAACTTTTTTGCCTCATATGCTAGACTTTGTGTGGCAATGGGAAGTATGGGCCCTTGAGAAATTGCAATTTTGCTTTGGAGTTATTTTCCTATAAAGAAACTCCTACTTGTTTTCTATCTAGTCCCTTGTTTCCTTTGAGCTTTAACGGAGTTCTGCGTCTGTCCAATCAAAATGGTCTTTCTGAGAGTCCAGAGTACTTTCTCTAGAAATCCTACAACTAATCTTTGAGCAATCTCTACGAGTTAAGGCTTGGATGAATTTGTCCAATTCTCTTCATTGTCATGTATTTTAATATACTATTTCTGGGTTTTCCTTGAGTCTCACTGCTGATATCTATGGAATGTTTGTTGATGCTATTGCTTGTAGTATTTGTTACTCTGTCATCTTCATCTTTTAGTTGTATTCTTGTAGAAGATTGAGTTCGGGTTGAGGCTTAACTGCGGTACTCAGTACGCAGCATTTTGTTGTCTTACGATGATATTACTCTAGTGACACTTCGTATGCATTTCTTTAGAATGTATCCATACTTATACAGACCACTTGTTATTGATTTTAGGAAGATGACGAGCGTACCATTGAGGAAGATGAGGCTCTCATTACTAAAGAAGAGAGGGAAGAAGAATTAGCGGCATTACAGAGTGAAGTTGATTTACCTCTTGAGGAGATACTAAAGCGATATGCTTCAGTGGAAGGTAACTTCATTGTAATACTGTTAATGTATGAATTTCTATTTGGGAAAGTTACTAAAAACCATTGCCGGTGTCAAATTTCTATTTGTATGGAACCACCTTGGTGCACATGAATTGCTCATTTTTCTTTTATATTACATTGAGCTATTGTGTGGTTATGTATTACATGATAGACATTAGTGGCCAGCTTTTGTTTTCTACCTTCTTTCTGGAAGCTACTTGTCCATTCACATTACAAAAGATAAAGAAAGTGGTTTTTGCATCAGAAATGAAGCTTGGAAAAGATTGTCTAGTTCAATGAAATTTGTTATGTAAATATATTTATATAATTCCGAATACTACATATTGTAATTTGTCAGACTACTGTTGATTAATATGAATGTTGTTCAGTGAGCAGAGAATTGAGTCCTGCCAAGGATGATAATATTCCTGGAGCAGTCAATCTTAAAGAGTATAATGGTAAGGGCATAGCAGTTTTCTATGTTATCTAGTTGCATCTTGTCAAGTTCCTTTCTAACCGCTCATTAAAATTTGTCAGGAAAACAAGAGGCTGAATTGACCCCTGAGATAAAGACAGACAGCTCACCTTCAGAACCTGGTCGTCGTTGTGTAAGTTGTATGTGTTTATGTGTACCGTGGCCATTTGTAATGAATGTCTAATGCTCAACATAATGTTCCTTTTTTGATTTATGCAGGTTGAAAGTAATGGTGTGTTATCTGTGTCAGAAAACCATTTTTCTGAGTTTAAGAAACACAGAAAGAGAAATTCATTAAAGAAACTTCCTCAATCAGAGAAGAAACAGATTTTACATGAGTTCAAAGATGAACAGGTAAGCACACGACTTAAAAATTCAACATATGCGGCAACTTCATTTACCTGATTCTGTAGTTGCTACCCATTTTAATTTGGATGTTTCAACCGTTTCTGGCCATTGGGAACTTCTCTACTCGATTTGTTTAAGCTTATGATGGATGGTTCTAACCATTTTCTTCACTCTATAGGAAGATGATGATTTTGTGCTTTCTGCTGGAGAAGAAAAGGAATATGATATGGTAAGGGATATTGGTGCCTGAGTTGGCCATGTTTTTTCTTTTCCATTGCCAAGCATTTCTGTTTCTTTGGTAATGGCATGCGGTCTTCCTATTATGTTATATCTCTCTTCTGTGGTTGCAAGTATCAGTTGTTTCACACACTATTTAACTGCAAATTGAAATATTGGTTTTTCTACGAAAAATATGTTTTGCACTTTTTATCTCTTTATTGACACCTGCAGTTTTATCCAGGATGATGAGACAACACTTCTAGAGGAGGAAGCATTGGCAAATGCAGAGTCAAACCATACTGAAGATGAGGTTAGATCATGCATTACTAAGTTATTTCTGGAAATTTGGCGAACACTTTGGTAGTTCTACTTTCAGTTCCGTCTTTTGATTTTGGCTACTAAATCAGCACATGCACATGCAACATGATATTTCAATTTAGATAATAATGATAAGTTTTTTCCAGATTGCACTTCTGCAGAAGGAAAGTGAAGTTCCCACAGAGCAGCTGCTTGAAAGGTATAAAAAGGTATGTTGAATGGTGCTTTGTTTCGTTTTCATGGATTGGACGCTAGATACTGATGTTTATTGCTCTTAATCAGGGTTGTGACAGTGATAAAGATGTGGAAGATGACTTTGAGTCCTTGTTGGATTCTGATTCAGAAGAATATGCGAGTTCTGCAGAACAAGGAAACTGTGAAAATACGCATTGTGATAATGAATCTAATGGATTGCAGCTTGATGTAATACCTCATAGAGAGATAGATGAAGCTGATTGCTCGCAGAAGTTTGGAGAAGATACACAGGGTGAAAATATAATTGCCGATGCAGCAGCTGCCGCCAGGTCAGCTCAACCGACTGGCAACACATTCTCAACAACAAAAGTACGGACAAAGTTCCCTTTTCTTCTGAAGTATCCTCTTCGCGAGTATCAACATATTGGCTTGGATTGGCTTGTGACCATGTATGAGAAGAGGCTTAATGGTATACTTGCTGATGAGATGGGTTTGGGAAAGACAATTATGACAATTTCTCTTCTTGCTCATCTCGCTTGTGAAAAAGGAATATGGGGTCCTCATCTTATTGTTGTCCCAACTAGTGTGATGCTCAATTGGGAGACCGAGTTCCTCAAATGGTGTCCTGCCTTTAAAATACTGACTTACTTTGGAAGTGCTAAAGAGCGGAGAATAAAGAGGCAAGGATGGATGAAACCTAATACATTTCATGTTTGCATAACTACATATAGGCTTGTCATCCAGGATTCTAAAATATTCAAGCGGAAAAAGTGGAAATACCTGATCCTAGATGAAGCTCATCTGATAAAGAATTGGAAGTCCCAAAGGTGGCAAACACTGCTTAATTTTAACTCCAAAAGGCGTATTCTCCTGACGGGTACTCCTCTGCAGAATGATCTAATGGAACTTTGGTCTCTAATGCATTTCTTGATGCCTCATATTTTCCAGTCCCACCAAGAATTTAAGGATTGGTTCAGCAATCCAATATCGGTGATGGTGGAGGGGCAAGAGAAAGTAAACAAAGAAGTAGTTGATCGACTGCATAATGTTCTGCGCCCTTTCATACTACGCCGTTTGAAAAGGGATGTTGAGAAGCAGCTCCCCATGAAACACGAGCATGTTATCTATTGTAGGCTCTCGAGAAGGCAGCGCAACTTATATGAGGACTTCATTGCGAGCTCCGAGACACAGGCTACTCTAGCCAGTGCTAATTTTTTCGGAATGATTAGTGTTATCATGCAACTTCGTAAAGTATGCAATCATCCTGATTTATTTGAAGGTCGGCCAATTGTCAGCTCGTATGATATGAGTGGTATAGACATGCAACTGAGCTCTTCTGTTTGCTCGGTGCTTACTCCGGAGCCATTTTCAACTATTAACCTTTGTGACCTTGGTTTTGTGTTCACACATCTGGACTTCTCGATGACTTCGTGGGAGAGTGAAGAGACTCTTGCTATTGCTACACCTTCAAGCTTAATTGAGCAACATGCAAATCTGGTTAATCTGGAGGAGAACAGGATTGGGCTCAAACATAAGAAAAAGTTGCACTCGACAAATATTTTTGAAGAGATCCAAAAGGCACTGTTGGAGGAGAGATTGAAAGAAGCAAAGGAGCGTGCCGCAGCAGTTGCCTGGTGGAATTCTTTGAGATGCAAAAGAAAACCCATGTATGCCACTGGCCTCAGGGAGCTTGTCACTGTTAGGCATCCTGTCCATGATATTCATTCTCAGAAGCATAATCCTTTGTCTTATCAGTTCTCATCCAAGCTTTCTGACATTGTGCTGTCACCGGTTGAAAGATTCAGCAAGATGATTGATCAGGTCGAAAGCTTCATGTTTGCAATACCTGCCGCACGTGCTCCTCCACCAGTTTGCTGGTGCAGTAAAGGCGGATCACCTGTGTTTATTCAGCAAAAGTTTGAGGACTCATGGTCTCGAGCTTTCTTCCCTCTTCTTACTCCATTTCGCCCTGCTATTATTCGAAGGCAAGTTTACTTTCCGGATAGAAGACTTATCCAGTTTGACTGTGGTAAGCTGCAGGAGCTTGCGGTTCTGCTGAGGCGGCTGAAATCAGAGGGTCATAGGGCCCTGATTTTCACCCAAATGACAAAAATGCTTGATGTTCTGGAGGCATTCATTAATTTGTATGGTTACACTTACATGCGTCTAGATGGTTCCACTCCTCCTGAAGAGAGGCAAACGCTTATGCAGCGGTTCAATACAAATCCTAAGTATTTTCTCTTTATTTTGTCAACACGAAGTGGGGGTGTTGGCATAAACTTAGTCGGGGCAGATACTGTCATCTTTTATGACAGTGACTGGAATCCAGCCATGGATCAACAAGCACAAGATAGGTGTCACAGGATAGGGCAGACTCGTGAAGTACACATCTACCGGTTGATCAGTGAGAGTACCATTGAAGAGAACATCTTGAAAAAAGCTAACCAAAAGCGAGCTCTCGACAATTTGGTTATACAGAGTGGAAGCTACAACACTGAATTCTTCAAGAAATTGGATCCAATGGAGTTGTTCTCAGGTCACACAACAATAGCCCAGAAGGATACACCAACTGAAAAACCATCAAACGGTGCTGATGACATCACCCTGTCTAGTGTTGATTTGGAGGCTGCTTTGAAGAATGCTGAAGATGAAGCAGACTACATGGCGCTTAAAAAAGTTGAAGAAGAAGAAGCTGTGGATAATCAAGAATTCACTGAGGAAGCTGTTGGGAAACTTGAGGATGATGAACTTGCCTATGAAGAGGAAATGAATTTTGATGGTCCGGCTGAACAAACTGCCTTGATTGCTAAATCAGATGGAGGCAATGAAGCAAGTGGCAGTCAGTTAGTTGAGGAAGGAGCCCTCGATTTTCGTAGTAAAGAAGATGATGTCGATATGCTTGCTGACGTCAAAGAGATGGCTGCAGCTGCAGCTGCAGCTGGTCATGCAATCTTGTCCTTTGAGAATCAACTGCGTCCAATTGATCGATATGCAATACGTTTCCTCGAGTTATGGGACCCAATTATTGACAAGACTGAAGTTGAATCTCATACTGTGACTGAGGAAACTGAATGGGAATTGGAGCACATTGAGAAATTGAAAGATGATATGGAAGCTGAGATTGACGATGATGAAGAACCGTTAGTGTATGAAAGTATGTCCTTCCTTGACGCGACTCTGTTGATAATTGTTTTTTTCTTGCCTTTCTTTTGGTCAAACAAATTTTAAGCTAAATATGCCGATTTGAAAGATCTACATTTCAGTTCTCAAGTGTCCATGTGCATTGCAAAAATCAGTCAAACTTAGTTTATCAGATGACATACTTTTGTTCCGTGTTCTTGATCTGGGTTTTTTTTTTTTTTTGATTATTTTTTTCCATAGCTCACACCCCGTTTCTGTTTCATTTTTCTTATTCACTATCTGTTTTTTTTTTCTGCAGTTGTGGTTTCCTCCTTATCTCTATTTTTTTTCCTGATTTTATTGCTCAGGATGGGATGCGGATTTCGCTACTGAAGTGTACAAACAACAAGTTGAAGCATTAGCTCAGCAGCAGGTTTGAATCGTTGACCTAAAATATTCATTTTAATTTGTCATAAATAAAAATATTCTTCTGTTACACAAGCTAGATGATAGGCACATTCACTCGCTACCAGATTCACGCATTATTTAATGGGTACCTATTGTTTGATAGTTGATGGAAGACTTGGAACGTGAAGCCCGCGAGAAGGAGGCTTTAGATCGTGCAAATTCTGATTCTCAAAGGTGTGTGCTCGTCAAAATGTTTTCTGATTGTGTCTCTCATTAATTGTTTTGGTTATTGACATACTTTCTATTTTGTGAAAGTGGGATTATTGAGGAGGTCACTCATAGGTATTTGTAGTCTTGGTCATTTGGCCTGATAATGGAATTTGTAGTGCAAGTCATACTCATAAGGAGCACTGGGTAAGATGAAAATCAATCCTCGACTAAAATAGTAGAGATATGAGAATTATGTATGCGGTTTGTTTTGTTTAATTTTTGAGTGAGGGCTTATACTGAATTTTAAAAACATGATTGCTGCTTCTGCGATTGGATTGAACTATATAGATTGTGGTGGTGGTTTTTTTGGGGGAGAGGGGGTGGGTGGGTGGTGGGTTGATTAAATTTAAACTAAAGTAGGACAGGAAAAAATCCCTTATTATCATATTGAAATTTGGATATTGGCCATGTTGCAGATTCTATTTAGTTATGTTGATATTATGACTGTTGTCATTAGACTTTCCAGGGGTTTTTCTTATTGCTAAGGTTATTGACTTGGTCATCACCTCAAGAACCATATGGTGGATGAAAAAATTTATTTTCACAAACTAAATTGTTCTTCAAACCTTGTATCAACTGATACAGCATTTTAGTGTTCAGTTTTGAGAAAGCAATTTTCACAATATATAAGTTACATCATTTTGATTATTTTTTTCTCATCATTGATGACTATAGTATATTATGCAGCTCCTGCTGCTGTAGCATCAATCTTACTTTACTTTCTGAAAGCAGGAATGATATCTCAGTGGTTTCTAAACCCAAGTCCAAAAAGAAACCCAAAAAAGCCAAGTTTAAATCTTTGAAGAAAGCTGCTCTGGTTTCTAAATCCATCTCACTTAAGGAAGACTCTTCAGTAGAGACAATGTCTATAGATGAGGATATAATCGATGATGAGTTGATCACGTCCCCAGAGGCTTTATCCCCCTTGCCTCAGGAAAAGAGACGTAGGCCTGTTTCAGATGATGATGAGCCGAGGAGCAGAAAGAAGCCTAAAAAGATAAAGACTTCTGAAATAGGAAACATTCTCATGTATCCCAAGCCGTCTAGCAAGCACCAAAACGATCACAAAGACTTGAAAGTCTGTGATAATGGTGTTGCTGATCTCGAATCTAAGCAAATAAATAAGAGTAAGGCCCGGGGAAAGCTTTCGATTCCCGTCATGCCTCTGAAACGCTTCTTCACTATAAAACCGGACAAGTCCAAGAAGAAAGGAACCATTTGGTCCAAGGATTTTAATGCTTCTCTTGATATATGGTCACCGAAAGAAGATGCTGTGTTATGCGGGGTTGTGCACGAGTATGGCCCAAATTGGAACTTGGCAAGTGAAATTTTGTATGACATGGTTGCCGGTGGGTCTTATCGTGGCAGGTTTCATCATCCTGTCCGCTGCTCCGAGAGGTTTAGGGATCTACTCCAGAGATATGTTTTCACTGTTAGTGATGGTACAAATAATGAAAAAGGTGTCGGCGCTGTTTCTGGGAAAGCTCTGCTTAGAGTGACTGAGGTACGCTCGGTTTGAAGCTTCTTTTTTTTTTCCTTTTGTAGATGCTGATTTTGAAACTCAAAAATTACGCATTTTGTTGCCACTGACTTAATTTGAACTGATTTGGAATACTGAACCTAATTTCTCTAATCAATATTACTGTTATTCTCTTGGTCATACCCTCAACCATTGGTTTGACTGGAACTGGCATGGTGTTTTTTTGTATCAATCATCATTTGACCGCTTCTTTGATTCTTAGACTTTTTTAATGCAACAAAAGCTGCTTTCTCTTAATATTTATTTACTAAAAAATATCCAGCCATTTTAGAGTTTATTTTCTGTGGATTCTGGTTTATCTTGGTTTATCTGTGCAGTTTTCCATAGAATATTCTTGATTCGAACTATATTTTCCTGCATTTTCAATGCTTAACTTGGATTTATGCTGTAATGATTGTGGCTATACTATTCTGGTAAATTGATAGGATAATATCCGAGTGTTGCTTGGCATTACTTCTGAACTACCAGACCATGAAGTCCTTATTCAGAGGCATTTTTTCTCCCTGCTTTCTGCTTCTTGGAGGGATAGCTTGCGCACTGGCTATAGAAGTAATGATCCATCTTTGCAAAATGGATTTTATCCTTCTCGAAAGCTCTACGATTCTAGAATCAACCATCAGAATTTACCTGGGAAATTTCCAGAAAGGCTGGAGTTTACTAATTTGCATGAGTGTGGCAAGTTAGTAGCAGCTGCTCTAGATGGTGATGGCACTCCTCAAAATCACCCCAAATTATCTATCTCTAAACAGGAGGAACTTTTGGTGGCAAAAGAACGGTTGGATGTAATCCTTGAAATTCAGGGAAAAAGTGATGAAATTTCGCCGCTTCCATCTGCCGTTAGTGTTTCAATATCCGTGCCAGACCCGTCTCTGTCTTCGAAGACGCTTTCTTCTGAGGAATGCCATTTCAAATCTGCCCGTAGTCTTGTGACAAGCCAGTTTAGGTATTTTACCTTCATCTTGTGTATGAACTTATTTCCAAGGAAGTTTTAACATGCGCATTGGTTTATTATTTTTAAAACAACTAAATGATATATTTATTGTATCATCTCATAACCAATCACATTTTTTAATGTCTGCTATAATATAGAATGAAACTTCCAATTTATTCTATAAGCAACCTAAATTAAGGCTCGTCTAATTCACGCCTTTAGTTTTGCAATCCTGATAGTTTTTCTTTTCATTTGCAGAATATCAGGGTCACCACATCCAGAAAGTGGTTCGGGTGGGGAATCCCTAAGTTTGCGGAAAAACAAGCTCCCTGTTTCAGACATGTTAAAACCTTCCAAATCAAAATCCAGACGAGTTACCAAAGAACCAAGCCATGCGCATTCTCCAACATCCCGTGAAGTTTTCCAGCAAATGGGATTGACGCCAGACGACCCATTTTCAGACTTTGACGAGCTGTCATCCTTCTTTCCCCAAGCCCGAATGCTAGAATCTGATTGGCTGCTTGAAATGGATGGTGATATCTTGTCCTCGGGCAATTTAGGAGCCACCTCATTCGACATCGGGCCAGATTTAAATTCCGGGCTGGAAGATTTGTCGGTTTTACCTGAATTTACGGATATAGGGTAAGAATAAATATAAATGATAAAGAAAGTCACTCAACGGTTTTGGAATTAGAGAGAGTGGCCGTATTTTTTCAAAGAATGGCTAAATCTCGGGAAAGAGAAGCAAACTTGCAGTCGATGAAAGTATCGAGTACTCGAGGCTGGGGAAAAATGATTGCTGAGCTGTCGGGGGAGTATATTCATCACATATAAAAATGGGTGGTTATGAGAGGTGGTTTTGTGAATGGTGGATGAAGTTCTTGTTTGGGGAAAGGTTATGTGAGTGGCCAGAAAATGTAGAATATTAGATTGTTTTAAAGGGTGGAATATATATTATTTCACGTGTAGGGATAGGGTTTTAGTATATTTTTGCAAGTGGTGGTGTGTAATTGCTGCTTTATAATTGTTGGTGGGACGATGAACTTGCAATTCTGAATTTTTGAGGGGAATATTGGTGGACATGTTTTTATATATTCGTTGATGCGTGCGATGCAGTCATATTTTCTGCATTGTGATGGCAATTAAAAATCATTCAGTGATGAGGAAAAAAATTGTTATATTTTCTTTCTTTGTGTGTGCAATAATTTGTTGAATGTTTAAAAAAAAAGAATGCCCACGAATACCATACACGTATCAAGATTTCGTCCATGGGGGTAGGAGAGTGGAAGAACTGTTATCTTTTGGCATATTAGACAGAAATTCTATGGTGCCCATATGGGCACGATATGGTGCCATAATCTCATGATCCAATGCCTAATATCTATTGTGGAATTAATAGAATAGATATTAGGCGTTGGAAATGTTAAATGCACATTTATCGTGGGTAAGAGACTGATAGATATGTAAAAATATTCACTGTTTTACATGTTTATGATATATTTCGAGAAGTTTTGCAAAAATGCTCCTTAAAATCACACTATACGTGAATTGTTCATAAACGGGTTATAAATAGAAAATAATGCAATTTAAGGATCAATGATAAAAATTAAATTTTGAATCAGTTATTCATAAACTTTGAAAATATATCGCAATTAAAAATAAAATCATTGTAGATGTATAAATAAAAAGAAATTTATAGACAAATTGCGTAATTTTTTCAAAAATATTAACTCGTGTCGTGTCCTAGGGGCCGAAAAAAAATGTCAATAGGTGACAAAAGAAAGCAAATGACAAATTAATGAGAAAGTTAAATGTTAACTCATTCATGAATCAGGCCCCATCTGTCCAGCCCCAAATTTATGAATCGGCCCAATATTGATTAATGGCCCGTTTAATATATTTAAGCAGCAGTTTTTAAAATTTCAATCAAATCCTCCTTATTTTTCTTTTCTCACTGTAATTACTAATCCCTACTCCTCGCGCTCCGGATTCTCCAAATTCTTGCCTTTAATATTAGGTTTTCTCAAGTTATTTTTTGTTTATTTTCACAAAATTGAGCCCTAATTTTATGAATAATCGAAGCATAAGCAGTGGCGCGAACAGTGAAGAGGGAGATGGTTAACGCTAGCAGTCGTGTTACTCGAAACAGTGAACAGAACAAAAATGGAGAACAAGGTACGGCTGATAACATCGGAACTGAAGACAGTGCTGTTGAGCGCAGAGTTCTTCGTTCGAAGTACCTCATATTTAAGAATCGGATTAGCGGTAAGTTGAGTATGTTCGTTTGTTATTGTTTTGGTTTTGGCAATTTTGGTTTTGTAATGCTTGCTCACTATGAATTTGGCTGTGTTGGAAATATTTTTCGAATTTCTTGATGCACAGTTATCTGTATGTTGGAAGTTAATACTAATATACTGTTATAGCTAAGGACAGTCAAACATTGTTTAAGTTGGAAAAATAGACCTCAGGAAGGTTTTTGAACAATGTATCTTGAGTCGTGTGGTGAGTAACTTAGTACGTTCAATAAGCAGTGGTATGCTTTTTTTCCTTAATTGTAGCATGTGAGGAACTTCAAATGGAATTTCTTAAACAAAGTTGAATCTTTGTTATTAATGTATGTAGTTAAAAGTCTGAGTTATTGTATCCCTGACAATGTGTGCTTCTCTGTTCCAATTTGTATGGGTATTTTTTTTTTTTTTTTCAAAATCATATGCCTGTTTGATGAATTTAACCTTTTCTTTTCTGTATGCAGATGAGAGAGATGATTTATCAAAAGTTGATTCAGATATATTCAAATTAATGATTGACGAAGTTGACAGCTTGCATCAGTTTGGTATTATTTGCATGGTCTTCTTTTCATCGGTGTTACTACTTGTCTCTACTGCTCTTTGTAAATGACTTACTCTGTTATGTATAATGACTAACAACAAAAGAATTATCCAAATTGTTCAAATGGTCGAACTCATACATACTGTCATCAAATTTCATAGTTTCTTATTTTAAATTATGAATACTAGATGAAGATCATACCATTATGATGGAACAGGAAGGCTTTGGGTGTGGGAGATATTTCCATGATTTTTTTTTTCCTATTAATTTTTGACTACTCTATTAAAGAGGATACTACGATCCCTCACGTATTGCTTTCTCGTTGTTTTCATTCAGTACAAAAGCCCAGGGAACAAGTAGCAGATGCTGAAGCTCTGTTCGACATTACAAACACATTGGTGACTTCTGTTAAAGCTTTTAACAATGAAGGCTGGACTCCTTCAGATTTTGTTAGCTGTCTTCTGAGGGATTTCGGGCAGGATGGTGGACCAAGCAGTGGCCAGCATGAGGGTTGGAGTTTGATACGGTGGAAAGACATTGGACAAGTAGTCTCTCATTTTTTCGCGAGTGGTCCTGGTTGTTGCACGATGTAATAAGTTTCACAAGATTTCTCTTTCTTTCGTTTCTTTTTCTTGAATTAACATGATTTTTGTATATATAATTTCTCTTTCTCTCTCTCTCTCTCTCTCTCTCTCTCTTGTTTTACAGGATTGGGCCCATGAACACTGAGCTGAAACAGCGTAAGGTTGCAGTGTATAGAAAGCGTACAAGACCGACTGAAAATGAACATCCTGAAGAGGTACATCCTTTCTGACTATTTTGATGGATATTGTTAATTTAATATTTTTACTGCATTATTTTGCAGAGGGCAAATATACAAAATTCATACACAAAATTTACGCATTTATTACTTGGAAATGGTTTGTTGCTTGTGTAGAACATCCTCCCTGACCCCAATGAGTCATTTGCTGATACCTGAAATGACATTTTCTGTTTCTATACTGTTGTTTTGCAGCTTGATGAGAACGCTAATAAGGAAAGAACTGATACTGATAAGAACATGGCCACTATGTTTGATATTCTGAGGAGGAAGCGCAAAGTCAAGCTCGAAAATTTGATATTGAACAGAAACTCTTTTGCGCAGACTGTCGAAAATCTATTTGCTCTGTCCTTTCTGATAAAAGATGGGCGAGCTGAGTCATCAGTTGATGACGCTGGATGTCATCTGGTTTGTAAGTATCTTTTTCGTGTGCTTATTCTTATCTGTTTTTATTTATTTCTTCCTTTTTATCTCTCTTCCTATCTCTTTTAATATCTATTTTAAATTACTAATTTCAGCCCCAAGGAATGCTCCTAGTGCAAGTGCAATTCAATCTGGGGAGGCCACTTACTGCCATTTTATATTCAGATATGATTTCAGAGACTGGAAGGTATTCATGCATGCATTGAATCCCATTTTCTCCAAGCTTTTGAAATGTCGTCTATTTATACATTCTTTCATTTTCCGAACAGTGACAACTGAGTCTCTGGACTCAACCTATGTATTGTTCTTGGTCTTCTAAATTTGAAAGTTCTTCTCTTTTTTCCTTTTTTTTGAGATATTCAATGTTTCAAATTTACAATGATTATACAATTAGATGCTGGGTCAAAAAATTTAAGTGTCCCATTCTTATTTACAACAACAACAACAACAACATACCCAGTATATTCCCAACAGGTTGGGGTCTGGGGGGTCAGTTGTACGCAGACCTTACCCTTGTAATTATACAAGGAGGCTGTTTCCGTAGCGACCCAAGGTGCATTGCGCCGTTTGATAATTTTTTTTTTTTCTAGTAACTTCACTAATAGAAGAAGCACTAGAATTTAATTGAGCCATTTTGATCTAGTCCCATTCTTATTTATTCGATAGAAAATATTTTGGTAATTATATCCATAGTGTTCAATATATATCTTACAAAGTCTTGCAAAATGTAATCTTGCAGTCGATGCTGACTTCAGTTGAAGCTGGAGAAGAACTAATGCCACATAGAACTGAGGTGCATGAAGCAAGTAACCCTCAACCCGAGCCTAATGAAGCTCATGCAGCCCAGCCCACAACACCTATAAGGAAATTATGCAGGAATCGAGGGTTGGTTATGCAGGAACAAGACTTGGTTGCAGATTCTCCTCAAAGTGACGATACAGCTGCTGCTAGAGCTGCCACCATTCGCAAGGGCAAAAGGAAACTAACGTGAAGTGTCTGTTTTACCCCTTGTAAGCAGGATGCCTGCTTTAGAGTTCGAGGATGAAATTACTATTTTGATTTGCGAAGTTTTTATGATTTCGTTTTGTGGTGCACTGGATTTGGCAGGCCACTCTCTCCATGGTTGAAGAATGCTGTGCACGGAGTATTCAGTATGGATTGTGCATAGATAATTGTTTTAATTTTCTAGTTTCAGCTGTACATAATTTGGTATATTGTTTTCAAGTCTTATGTTTGAATTGTTGTATTGGATTTTATTTTTGAATGTAAATCACTGATGTTTCCTAGGTGGATATTTTTTTTTTAATATTCTGTTAAAAGATGAAGAAAACAATGAATAAATAACCAATGATTATTAAATCGGAACAATAAGAGAACTTATTCGATGATAATTATGGTGCTAGTATCTTGTTAGCTTTCAAATTCATTGCGGTCCCGTTTGTTGTCAGGTTGGCCCCTCTTGGGCTGGACGAGATATGGCTAGCCTAGTTATGACTCACTACTGTGCTATCTGTTTGAGCTCCGATTTACCTAGCCCAAATCCATTAAAGCTTACAGTCGTCAGCGAAGCCGAGGTCCAGCCCAACTCAAACCCATTTAAGGAGCACGTGCTTAGTTTATCTCGTCGAGTCATACTCTTACTCCCCAATCCCCATCGTCTTCAATCTAAGGAGCACGTGCTTAGTTTATCTCGTCGAGTCATACTCTTACTCCCCAATCCCCCATCGTCTTCAATCTGCTGAGTTGCTCAATTAGCTCACATAACATATATATAGCCATTCAGTATTGACCTTCTGCGAGAAAAATCCTACCTTAGTTGGGGATTATCTTTCTTGAACAATTACTACTCAGAATTTCTCTTTCTGCATCTTTTTTTTTTTTACTTACTTTTCTATGTGAGCTCTGGAGCTATGGACACACGCAAGAGAGACAGTGACAAGACTTGAGAAACTGAGTCCTACCGTACTGTACAGACCAAACATGCAGTTTCGATTTCTAGATAATAAATTAGTTCACTAGAAGATCTGTACTTGATATTATGTTCTTGAAGAGTTGGATCACTGCACGATTTTGAATCAATTGAAAAATCATAATAAGATCTTCATCTTCTAAGTTTATTGAAGTTTACATTGGAGTTCTTTTTTCTTTTTTCTCTGATAGGGTTAGTTAGGTTTCATTGTAATAGCTGGACAGTTTCTATCTCATGTTGAGTTAGAGATCACTCCATCCCTATGAAAAAGTTGCCGAGCTTTGCCGGCCCACGAAGAGCCCCGCCAGCCCATTCCCTGATCCAACCCAGCCCGCTTTGCAGCCAGGCCTGACCCACCTGCCCCAGCAGCCAGCTTTGGAGCCTCGGCCACTGCCAAGGTTAGCGTGGACGCCTCGCTGGCAGGCGCCATTATTGGGAAAGGAGGCGTGAACTCGAAGCAGATATGCCGGCAGACGGGTGCCAGGCTGTCGATCGAAACGAACCCGGGCCTGAAGAATATTGAGCTCGAGGGCACGCTGGAGCAGATTAAGGAGGCGAGTGTGACGGTGCAAGAGCTCTGTGATAATTTTGCCAAGGGGTCGTGCCCATTTCGCGCACGGGGCTTTTGAGCTGCTGCGCAACACTGCTCTTGTCAGGTTTGTTTCTATTCTGCTGATTTCCTGCTGTAGATTTGGGCTTATATTACGCGATAGAGAATCTGTGACAAGGCAAAGATTTATTGAAACTTGTAAGACTTTGTTGTCAAGTTGAAAATTTGCTTATAATAGTTGCGCTTAAATTTGTTTCACAATTCTTTTTTTTTTTTTTCTTTTTTTTTTTTTT